CCTTTAGTCTGTTGGGATATGTCTCTACTAACTTTGCACATCTAGACTTTGCAATATTTGCCCACTCTTCTTTGCAGAACTGCTCAAGTTCAGTTAAATTTGATGGCGACGGTTTGTGGACTGCAGTCTTCAAGTCATTCTACAGATTTTCAGTGGGGTTTAAGACTGGGCTCTGACTAGGCCATGCAAGGACATTCACCTTTTTCTCCTTCAACCACTGTGTGCTCAGCTCTGCTGTGTGCTTTGGATCATTGTCATGTTGGAAGGTAAACCTTCTTCCCATTGACAACTTTTTGGCAGAAGTTAAGAATTGGACGGAATTTGCTCCATCCATTTTTCCTTCTATCCTGACGAGTGCTCCAGTCGCTGCTGCAGAGAAACACCCCAATAACAGGATATCACCACCTCCATGCTTTACTGTAGGAATGCTGTTGTTTGGATGGTGAGCTGTATTGGATTTCTGCCAGACATATCATTTGCTGTTGAGGGCAGATTCAATTTTAGTCTCATCTGACCATAACCTTTTTCCATGTGGCCTCAGAATGTCAGTGTGTTTTGACAAAGCTCAGTCGTGACTGCATGTGGCCTTTCTTGAGTGGCTTTTTTCTTGCAACCCTACCATACAAACCACATTTGTGGAGAATTTGTGATATTGTCAGCCATTGAAAAGACAAGTGTAAACGCGCTTCTGATCGGAATGTTATCCGATCAGCGTGTCCTGTTCCAGAGGTAGTCGAGGATGCATTGTGATCGGATTTCAGTGTAATGTAAATGCAATCCAGCCATCGTGTCTGCATTCGCAGGTCGACATCACGCAAAACGCCGCCCCCTCTCTCCCGATCTGTCGGAAGAACCGAGCGCTAGTGAGACGCGTACATTTATTTTGATTTGTAAAATGTCCCGCGACTGAAAATAGTTTTCAAAAGAAAACCCACCACTTCAGGTCGACTTTGCACTGCAGACTTGTTTAAATATTGCGCGGGAAATACAGATTCGATCGGTTATCCAGATCGAGAAGTCAGCTGATGTTGCCAAGTGTAAACGCGCCGTGTCCTGATTGGCTGATGATCAGATCATGGTGATCGTATGTTTATATTATATGCAGTCGTGGTCAGAATTTTTGGTACCCTTGGTAAATATGATCAAAAAAGGCTGTGAAAATAAATCTGCATTGTTAATCCTACTGATCTTTTATTTTAAAAATGTACAAAAATCTAACTTTTCATTGAAGAAGAAGAATTGGGGGGAAATCTCAGTGTCACAAAATGAACCCAATATCATATTTCCCATGTGATGACGAAGGTAAAATAAAATGTACTAGCAGATTTAAAAACATTTGAGTGCCGATCTTTGGTTCATATGGGAAATCTCATTATGAAATAAATGTTTTTCTCTAATATACATTGGCCACAATTAATGGTACCCTTTTATTCAATACTTCTTGCATCATCCTTTTGCCAAGATAACAGCTCTGAGTCTTCACCTATAATGCCTGATGAGTTTGAAGAACATCTGACAAGAGATCAGAGACCATTCCTTCATCCAGAATCACTCCAGACCCTTCAGATTTCCAGGTCCATGTTGGTTGCTTCTTCTCTTCAGTTCACCACACTCATTATCTATAGGGTTAAAGTCAGGGCACTGGAATGGCCATGGCAGGATATTCGTTTTGTGCTCAGTGACCCATTTTTGTTTTGATTTTGATGTTTGTTTTTGGATCATTGTCCTGTTGTAAGATCCAACCTTGGCCCGTTGTAAGATGTCTAGCATGAACAGTCAGTTTTTAATTTTTTTTATCTGTTGTTATTTGTTTGAATCCATGATGCCATGTATCTAAACAAGATGTCCAGGACCTCCGGCAGAAAAATACACCAACAACATTAAAGACAGTATATTTCATTGTACACATGGGGTACTTTTTCACTCTTGAGTGTTTTCTGCAAAAAGCTAATTTCTTAGTTTTATCTGACCATAGATCCCAGTCCTGTTTGAAGTTCCAGTAGTGTCTGGCAAATTCATATGCTGGAGTTTGTTTTTGGATGAGAGCATTTTCTTTTCTTGAAACCCTTCCAAACAACATGTGGTGATGTAGGTGCTGTTTGACATTTTTTTAAGGCTTTCTGACCCCTAAGACTCAGTTAATTGTTTATGCTCAAACAGCAACATTACACACTAACTTAGCCCAATTATCTGTTGCTGCACATCAGAACTATATGCTTTGGTTTTACTCATTGCGATGGATGATTAAGGGAATTTGGCCTTTGTTTTCCCTCATATTTATATTCCTGTGAAACCGGAAGCAATGGCTGGATAATTGCATAAATTAAAATCATAATCACCTTGGTGTGCTAAAAATTGTAATTATGAATGGGAATATACTTCAGGGATATTTTTCTCATAAGAATTTCTAAGGGTACCAATAATTGTGGCCATTGTGTATTATAGAGAAAATTATTTATTTCACAATGTGATTATTCCTATTTGATCGAAAATTAAATAAGAACAGTAATACTGTGAAATATTATTCCAATTTAAAATAATTGTTTTTTTATTTTAATACTTTTTAAAATCTAATTTATCCTTCAGAAATCATTCTATTATGCTAATTTGCAGCATTTTTTGGAAAGCATGGTGCATATGTTTTCAGGTTTAATAGAAACATCAAAAGGACAGCATTTATTTTAAACTGAAATAAATAAATTGCAGCATAAAAGTTCAATTTTAAAAAGTCTTAATGAACCCAACTTTTAGTAGTGCAGTAGTGTATTTTAAACCTGGAAATAATTGGGGGGGGGGGGGGGTTTAACTAATGTGAAAAAAATGATGAATAAATACTGTAAAAAATTTGTTGCTCATTGTATTGCATTAGCTACCGGTAACTAATGGGACCTTACTGTAAAGTGTTACCAAATATTCATGATATTTCATTAATATTATATTGTATATGATTTATTTGTGCTTACGTGACTGGAGAATGTCGTCCATGTCGGTCTTTGTGTTTTGATAGAACTCTCCAGAAGAAGTACTGCTTGTATCATTCATATCTACTGCTGTGTATAGGGGAAAGAAAAATGTATACATTTCCATTTTATTTCCTTATTAAAGGTTGAACAAATACTATCACATGAAATCTGTGTACCTTGCCTGTGGGTGTCAGGGGCACCAAAAGACAGTGGTGTCAATGGGGGTTTATCACCTTCATAACAAAGAAATAAAATAACATATTGGTGGATTTTTCTTGATTGAAATAATCAATTTTAGGTGGTAAGAGTTCAATCCCATGAATGTGATTATGATTTATTTGTGCATACCTGACTTTTGGATGGTGTCCATGTTAATTTCCACGTTGTCCACACGTCTTTCTCCAGAAGATGTACAGTCATTCACATCTCCTGCTAGACGGAGCAAAGAAGAGTTCATACATATTAAATGTGGCTCCTCACAAGTCATTGTTTATTATTTAATAATGCAGATCCTCGAATTCTTTAACAAGAATATGTGTTATGTCCACAATGCTAAAACAGAGAAACTACTGAATTATTTTTATTTGTATTTGTATCAGTTTCAGTAAGATTGTTTTTTATTCAGTAAGGATGTGTAAAAATGATCAAAATTGACAGTAAAAACTTTTACATTATTACAAAAAATCGTTGATTGAAAAAATTATTTTCCATAAAAATACTAAGCAGCACAAATGTTTTCAACACTGATAATAATAAATGTTTCTTGAGCAGCAAATCAGCATCAGGAATGTGAAAATAGATTGAAAATATAAATTATTTTAAATTCTAATAATATTTTGCAATATTACTGTTTTACTGTATTTTTAACCCCAAACTTTTGAATGGTAGAGTGCATCACTTTAATCACCATGATATTTTACCCCATTTTCTCTGTCAGTAATACCTCTATTGTCTCTTCACGTTCAAAACAGCTTCAAACTTTCATAAGGGAGATGTCAGAAGCTAAAGTCATGCTCAACAACTGCAGTCTGGTGTGTCTGAAAGGCCTCTCTAATGTAGTTGAGTTTAAGTTTAATGTGAACTAAAGTATAAAAGGAAACTATTTTCCTCCACCGACCTTCACAGACACTGTTTTATGTAGTAAAAAAAAAGGCTTTTTCAATTAAGCCAGTAGCTGATTCTGTGTAAAGTGACTCTTTCTTCTATGTGTGTAATTTTAAATCAGGACTGACTATATATATTTAAGCTGATATTTGTGGTCATTTGCAGTAGATGAGTTGTCTGCTAAAGCCAGCATACTTGAGTTGTTTAGATGCAGTCTTTGCGGTCGATTGCTGTTGTGATGTTCATAGTCTGAATCAGTGGAACTGTCAGAGTCATGAGTGGGCCGATTTGTTTTCGTGCTGAATTTGCTGCCATACTTTGAGCTCATTCTCAGCCCAAGACTTTCTGAGGAAATTAAAAACAAAATGTACTCGTTTATGCAAAATTGAAAGTTTGACCATTACAGAAATTAAACAATATTTCATGTGCATGACAAAAGTTAGAAAAGGCATACTTTTTAGCATTGTATGTATAATTACAGACAGCTTATTAAAATTGGATCACTTACAGTGTTTAAAGAAATCTAAAAATAATTTAATATAACAATAGTAGTAATTAATATTAATACTATGCATAATAATACCATTGATAATAATATTTACAATATCTACTAAATACTAAAAATAGATAATCAGTTATGAGGACATAAAAAAAAAACAATAGCAATACAAACCGTACTGACGCTCCCCGGCAGCCGGGACAGTTTGTGTGTTGTAGATTCCTATGTGTACATTGGGCTGGTACTCCAGGCTTGTGTGAGAATTACTGTGATGTTGGTGAATCACACATTCTGTTGGCAAAGAGGATGAAAATGAATGGCTTAAACTTCCCCATGCAGCACTAAGCCGCTGTATTAAGCTTTTGTATTGTTGTATTAGCTAATATCAAATGAACGAGTTACTAGTTCACAAAAGGTTTGACGCTCTTCATGTTCTATATAAAAATTTGAATGGAAAACACTGAATGCACACAGAAATTGGCCAAGTAGTCAGTGAATTCCTTTGAAGTTTATAACAATACAGCATGTTCAAAAACAACAGTGTTGTACTCGTACTCAGAGATGCTCTCAGAGTTAGACAATGATCAAAATAACTAAGAGTCTGTTTGTTGTAGCTCAGCTCTATTTCCTCAGTTCCATTTCATTTAGTTCTAAGAAAATGTGTGTTATTTATTTTCCAATGCCACCGTGAATGGTATTTATACTTTTTAACACACCCTATTACAACATTTGGATGCCACTGTTTCCAACGTTTCAGAAGATATGAGTGAGTAGTGCTTTTAAATGTAAAACATGCTTATACTTGCCCTTTGCTCTTTTGAAATGCACATAGGAAGCAGCATTCAAAATAATAACCATAAGCAGAGCAATACATAAGATGACGCAGCCAATCGCTGCTGCTGAAACGCCACTGCTGCTTTCTGTAGCTGCCATTGCAGTTGACACTAAAATAAACAGAGAGGTTTATATTAACAGAAATCTGCAGATTATGTCACTGTTTTTAATCAATTATTTTTCTTTTTAAACGTAAGGAACTGAAGCATCACCTGGCACCAGAGTTGTCAAGTTCGGCTCGGTTGTGCTGTCTATGAGTGTGATCTCAACACTTTCTGTATGAAAGACATTGAATCCATTGAATACATCGAAGGAATACAAATTACCAAGACTTGTCAGTCTGGATTTTGTCGACACGACACTAACAAGCTAAAGCTTTTATATGTGTGCTTTGACATTTCAGAAATGCTGTTGTAAGCCTGCCTTACTTTCGTCTTATTTTTTTTAGACCAACTGACATGGGAATTCTCTCCCACCACCCTAAAAAAGTTCAATCTGACCTGCGTTTCAGTGAAATTATGGTAACATTCCACCTCAAGAGGTCACGTACTACAACCTCAAATACACACAGGAAATTTGGTTGCTAAGTAATACATTTGGCACGAAAAGTTGGTGTCTACAAATCAAATGTTATGATGCTAAAGTCAACATGAAGTTGAAACTGCCCCTATTTACCGTTATACTACATGTCCTGGTCTTATTCAACGATTTACCAGTGTATGTTATTCCAAACAAAAATGGGTTAAACTTTATTTTAAGGTGTCCTTGTAACAGTGTAATTATACAATTATAATTAGTACTGAGTAATGTTGAATAACCACATTGCTAAGATTACTATACTTATACATTACTTACTATAGGGTTAAGAGGGTTTGATATAGGTTTAGTTGCATATAATTATGCATAATTTACTTAATTTACTGTTATTACTATAATAAATACATGCAACATCTAACAAGGACACTGTAAAATAAAGTGCTCCCAAAAATGTCTTTGTAATCTTTAATCTACATATAATAACTTGCTTTCTTTTCTTTTGACATTATTTAGGCCATGTAGAATGCCTAGATAATATTAAACAATTGCCGAAAGGCTATTTAATATTATTTAAACAAACTTGCATTCTCCAATCTGCAGTGTTGGGAAGGTTACTTTGGAAATGCAATAGGTTACAGATTAAAAGTTACCCTATTTAAAATGTAATAAGTAGTGTAACTATTTCAATTACTTTATTAAAGTAATGTAACTGATTACATTTGATTACTTTTTGATTACTTTTCTAAATTTAAACGAATGTTTTCAAATGTTAATCATTTTGAAATATTTAAAGCAGTTGGCGTTAACCTTACAGTAAGACTCTCATTACTGTCAGACTTTCAGAATCCTTCATCAATTGAATTAAGATTATTATTTCTTTTTAAAGCACATCCTCCACAAAAGCACCTCTTTTTACTTTGAGTTCGTTCTGAGGTTAAATACAGATTTAAAAACATAAGAAATAGTTTAATAGCTATGATACTGTTTTTAAAATCAAATCTTTGCATAGCTACGACAGGAAACACAGGCTTCTAACAGTTCATCTTAAAAAAGCATATACATAGACCCAAATAAGAAATAAATCAGTTATCGTATAAATGTGTCCTAAACTCCTGAAACATTGGTGTCTCATATTTTAGAGCAGCCAATGCAATTTGTGAATGAAATCAATTAAATCTGTATGTGTGTGTGTGTGTGTGTGTGCGTGCGTGCGTGTGTGCGTGTGTGTGTGTGTGTGTGTGAAAATATTCAGATGTAAACCCCTTTGTAATCTTTAACATTTTCATTTTCATAAGTAACTGTAATTTAATTACACATTTTTTTCTCAGTAACTGTAACTGATTACAGTTACATTTATTTTATAATTAAATTATGTTACTCTGTTACATGTTACTAGTTACTCCCTAACACTGCCCATACTCTGTGCTCTGATTGGATAAATGATATTTTGGCAAATCTAGTATGTCCTACAGATACAGTATTAAATACATACAGAAATGTGCTGTATATACATCACACTACAAAAGGAGTTTAAATAATATGAATATGACATGTGTCCTAAACTCCTGAAACATTGGTGTCTCATATTTTAGAGCAGCCAGTGCAATTTGGGAATGAAATCAATTAAATCTGTATGTGTGTGTGTGTGTGTGTGAAAATATTCAGATGTAACCCCCTTTGTAATCTTTAACATTTTCATTTTCATAAGTAACTCTAACTTAATTACATATTTTTTTCTCAGTAACTGTAACTGATTAGAGTTACATTTATTTTGTAATTAAATTACGTAATTACGTTACATGTAACTAGTTACTCCCCAACACTGCCAATCTGGTATGTAACGTCAACTTTTCTACCATCCAATCAATTCCTGATGAGTAAAAATTCCCAACTCTATATATTTTCCCTTCGAAAATACTGTGAAATAACCAAATTCCTACTGAAAATATTGTGAAATATAATAAAACAGGTTGCAAACTACAATTCACCTTGACTTTAATGTTTTTTCTATGTGTAGAAAAAAGTGGAGTTTTACGTTATTTAGCACTTGCCCCATAAATGTACAGAATGTGTATAGTACCTGAACACACAACGCCAGCATCTTCCTTATGTCCACAATAGTTGCTGGCAGTGGTGTTGATTGAGTCGCACTCCCATAAGCTGCTCTCGGAGCCATTGCATTTCATTTGGCTGATGTGGATGGGACCTGTTCCAGGCCCAAAAAAGCCCTCTCGTATCACACTGCCACATCTCAGCTGGGCACATACTACATGTCTACTATAGATGTCAAAATCATCATCACACACTGTTCCCCAATTCCCAGAATGCAGCAGCTCCACCCGACCTGCACAGTGATCACGTCCTCCAACCAATCGGACAGCCTGGTGCTCTGGAGGACAGTGGTCAGCCCAGACAAAGCACAATTACAGCAGTGAAACAAAAGTAGAACACCTATCAAAAGATCTCTGAGAAGATCTCAAATGACTCACCGCAAATTACTTCAGTTGCATTCATGCAGTCACCTTTTGCGGCTGTAGTGCAGTTGTGCAGTTTTGAGTCTCTCAGGATGCAGTCTGCAAGACAAGTGCCATTGTGCACTGTTGCAGTCGCGCCGTGCTCGAAAACACGGCCACAACTTAAACGTTCACAGATTTGGAGAGCAAGCTCTTTCTTCTCCTGAGCATCCAAAAGGTTGAGGGTCACATCGACCGTAGTGTTCTTGTAAAGAGCCCTAAGCACACCAAAACAGCCCTCAGACAGGCTTAGTTTGGAGAGCTCAACTAGTTCAGAAAGACAAAAAAAAAAGTCATTAAATGATTTCATTGAATCATCTACCTTAACTGTTTCTATCATTCTCATGAATGTATTCACTTTTTTATCTTTACAGCACGCTGCGTTGAGTCAGAACATTTTCCAACATCGCATCCTGACACTGATCTTATCTGAGTGTTGATTCTGTTCTCAGTGTGTATTTCGAGTACATCAGACACTAGACTTTTATTTAGACCCAAACAGCAAAGTGAATATCTTAACTGTGGGGCATTGTTTTGTGTTGCAAAACGTTGTAGCAGTACACTGCAACACAGCCACATCCCGTGAGTCACTTCCTGTGGAAATGTCATATTGTAGCATGGAGGACACTGGGGAAAGAACTTTTCTTTTTTAGAAAGTTTATGACATTGCCTCCACAGTGTGGTTTGAGCTCATGAAGTTCTCCTGATTTATGACTACAGGATGCAGATTGTGTCTGTGTATATCATCTGTGGAATTGTGACTCATTCTGAAGGTCTTGCTTTGGGGTGACTTCTCAACAGGGTCAGAGGTCACTGATCTGATGTTCCACTGCGGTGGAGAAAAACACTACCATTCAAAAGTTTGGGGTTCTAACATTTTTTGAAAGAAATTTATACTTTAATTCAGGAAGGATGCTTTAATTTGATCAAAAGTGACAGTAAATACAAAATCGTTACAAAAAAGTTCCAAATAAATGCAGTTCTTTTGAACTTTCTTTCATCAAAGAATCCTGAAAAAAATATGTCAAGGTTTCCACAAACTGTTTTCAACATTGATAATAATAAGAAATGTATCTTGAACACCAAATCAGCATATTAGATTGATTTCTGAAGGATCATGTGACACTGAAGTATAGGTTAATTTGCCATCACTGCAGTAAATCACATTTTATAACATATTAAAATAGAAAGCATTTATTTAAAATTGTAATTTCACAGTATTACTGTTTTTACTCCGTTTTTTATGTTTAGCATAAAATACTTCTTTCAAAAACATAAAAAGATTTTACCGACCCCAGACATTTGAATGATAGTGTACTTGGTGAAGAAGCATGGAAATACGGTGTAATAGAGCCTGAAACCTAAAAAACAAAGTCTTCTTGTTGTTTTTTCTCTCTCTCAACAAGCAGTTGGTGGAAGAAGGTGCTTAATCTGCTGAAAATGTTGATCGTCATCCTCATGAGGTCATATTGGATATTATAATATTGATTTTTTTTTTGTTGTTCTTCTTTTTTTACAACCCTGTTAACAATCTGGGATGTTTATACATATTAAACCCTGATTTGTGTCATTTCATTCTAATGCTAAATATTAAAAAAGTAGAAAACAATAGAAAATATTAAAATATCAATAGGGGCTTGCTAGTTTGGAAGCAAATGTTGGTTTGTAAATTAAATTTTCAATAAGATGAAGAAAAATATTAGTTTGATCTCTTTGGGGTTTTTTTTACAACAACTTAAATAACAGGGTTGATGAATGCCATGAACACAGCAATATTTGTACAAATTCGGAAAATGGATTGAGATTATATAAGCATCTTCCTGTAATGATGCACGTAGAAAGGCTCAAAATTGTGTTAAATATTTTTATATAAAAATTTATAAAATATATAAAAAAGGTTTTTGGTAATTAAAATGAATCAGTACTTATATAAATCCAAAATTATGACGCTGTGCTTAACTGTTGGATTCGGTCGAGAGACTCTCCCAAATGAACGCAAGCACTTTTCTGTTTGACTCCAGCTATTCTTTACCTTCTTCATGTATGATGCCTGTGTGATTGCGTACAGCATTTACATCATCACATCATTAGTTCACATATCAAACAGTGCTTAATGACTTTAAAATGAATTCTAGCGTGCAATAAAATGAAGCGGTTGTCCCTGCGGTGGTAGATTGCTCTCACAGTTCTGTGCAATCTTGCAGTGGTCTTGCTGATGTCTTTTCTCTGTTCTGTTTGATGATGAGGTTGGTCTCAGCAAGCTACCTCAAACACTGTTCTCATGCATATTGTTCAACATCTTGATTAACTGCTTGATTTTGCAGGCCTCTTTTAAATAAGCTAGCTTTTTTGATCGCCGTGAGATTGCTGCTAACTGTACCCACTGATAACACTGATATAGACAAGATGCAGATGTAGACAAGATACTTTCAAAGGAAAGGCATGAGTTTTCTTAGAGTAGCAGTAATCCTTCAACTCACTCTGTTTGTCTGAATGATCAGCATGCTTTTTCACACTCTCGGAAGTTCGGTCATCTGTTCCACTGAGCCCTGAAGATGAAAAGACGAACACCATAAGTTTTTGCTGAGAACTTGTTGCCCGAAGCCAGAAGGCAAAACTGTCACTTCAGTCTAAAGCGTAAAAGTATAACAGAGCACTTAAATAAACAATCTTCCAATTTGATATCAGTCTTCACTGTCTGCAAACATGATATTCCTCAAAGACAACAGCAATGAGACACTGTTGAACGAGATTCATAAAAAGAGCTGCCTGACCTTAACATTAAAACAACAAAAACCGATGTTCTGCAAAACTTTGGTAATGCTTGTGTTGGGTTGCAAAGTTAACTCTGCATTGAGTTCACATTCGAAGACTTGCCTTTGAAGACTTTGCCAAAACAAGAAAAGTTAAAACATGGAATAGGTTTGAAGCCTGTGGTGTAAAGAAAACGTAGATAAATCTTAATTGAGAGTTTTATGCAATATGAATGAGACCGCAAGATGAAATACGCACAAGTTATCTAATAATAACGTATAGCAAAGCCGTAATTATTTATAACTATAGGACGATTTCTTGAAAACCTGCTGTGTTAACGCAAACTAGATAAAGGGGCTGCAGATCTTGTATTTCAACACAGCGTGGTCCTCTAAATTAGTTTCTCCATCTGCCTCACTCAGAGCCGACACTCGGCTTGGTCATTAAAACGTACTTTTAAAAAGTCACAGTATGAAATTAATTCAGAAAATTGATAATTGCATTTGTGACTAACCACTATATTCTTACTCTCTTTAGACATTCTCAGAGAATATAAAAATAATCTTTTTTTTTTTTTTTTTACAAAAATGGCATGATGCCTATGTCTGCTTTGGTACATAATTTTGAAAAAAAATTACTATTACACAGAATGAAATAAACGTAAGAAATAATATTGCTATGTAATATTTATACCATACACATGCCAAATACATTTAAATGTAAAAAATGTAAATTACCTTTCAACATTCTAATAATTTATACAATTTCTGTGAATTAAACATATAAAATGACAAAAACAACTTAAGTTTTTAGTTTTATAAATAATATTTTAATATTCTCTATAACAATGGATTTGTTGTTACAAATGGAGATAATGAATTAAAATGAACAAAACAAAAAACGAATTTGCGAGAATTTTCCTTGAAGATTATTTTCATTATGTACTCTTCCTCAGATTAACAGTTATTTTATACAGAGCAGCCATATGTACAGTCTTATTCAACAAAATACATTTTGTGTGCTCTATTTCTGTCAAGATCCAAGAATTCTTTATAGCTGAACGTTGGAGAAAAACATAAGTTATTCTATTATTGAAACACTTTTCTATAAATGTAGAGCCTTGTAAATGTCTACTTGTCATGTTAATAACATCCGTAGCTTGTTTTACACAATCTAAAGGAACGCCATGTAGTCTAAAAATGGCTATTAGGAAAATTCGGTGATGAGATTTGCTGTTTTTTATTTTTAGCCATCATATGCAATTGACATACAAAGTTATCTTTCTTCATTCAATCACCTGTGAAGTTCAGCTTATTATTTACCAATGTGTCATAGTGCACTGAAGTGCATAAACGAATCTCTGGTTGCGCTTTGTTCAAACAGCTCTTTAGAAAAACGATGTAACAAGCCGAGGCATCGCTGAACTTTCTTTTGTCACTTTTTTAAAAAGCCTTCAGATTGCATTGTGCTGCATTAGTTAAACTGAGCTTTGTTTCAACCACAAAGCGTGTCTTACACCAAGTCTTTTGTTGAAAGTGCACATTTGATTTTCCATCTATGATAGTGATTGTCTCTCAAGAGCTAGTTAGACGGATTGTGCAATACACTTTGAGAATTCTGCAACCTCTCTGCTCAAGTATCATCAACTTAATAGAGAAACTGCTAGGTCCTTTAGTAAATATTAGAATATGCTTTTAAAAATGCCAGAATATTGAATATTATTTAATCGCAGTTGAACTCAAGCTTTCTAGATGAAAGACCAAATCTGCCTACACAAACCATACACCAGAACCATTTTACCTTGAGACAAGGACAAAGCCTGGAGAACAACACACAGCAGCAGAAGAAGCATCTCTCAGTCAGTCAGCCTAACAGCCAAAGCTTTCTGTTCATCCCTGACAGAGAGTTACTCTGACTGAAAAGCGTGACCCTGCACCTTCAGCCTTTGGTGTTTGTGCAGTTGCTGCATGTGGTTTCCACTACGGGGCGAATTTGAGCATCATGCCTCACAAATGCACTCCCTACCACAAACGCACACCCTATTTTGCTACCGTCACAGGTCAAGTGCACATGTATTCACTAAAAACATCTTTTCCAAAATATGTTTTTAGTGGCTAATGGAGTTGTTTTGATTCTGGCAATAGTTTAGCAACTAAGTTTTTGTTTCCCATTTTCATTTCCCTCCAGTTCATTATAGACTTTTATTGAGTTTCTTTGAGTAGCTACACAAAACGCTCAAGCTAGGCAGAATTGATTAAGAATTCTTCATGAATCCCAATTCATCATTGGCCTGGCATGTCAGGGTTGGGGATAAAGGATGGAGCGAGGACTCAATATTGCGGGAAGATAAGGGCTTTATTAAAGGCAGAACAAAACAAAACAACAAAAACTACCCCGTGGGGGAAAAACAGGCTGGCTAGGCAAGGCAGGATCTGGACACGACACGACACGACACATCCAGGGAGATACGAAGACGAACTGCCCGGGACTGCAAACACAAGGAGAATAAATGGAGAGCAAATGAGGAGGGTAACGAGGGAACACATGTGGGGCAAATTAACCAATAATCAGGTAACAAGATGGGTGGGGTCAAGACAATTGACATGAGAGCACATGGCACACAGGAAACAAAGACAAAAGCCATGTGCTCACACAAAACAAAACACGAACACGCAGCTAATGAGAAAACTCATAAGCCGCGTGTTCACACAAGACAAGATAGCACGCAGCCAGCGAAAAACCAAGCTGCGTGCTACACAGCACAAGACAAAACAGGACATGAAAGCACGCAGCCGATAACACGAGCTGCGTGCAACAACAACACAAGACAAGACAAGCACGCGGCTGAACACAAACCGCGTGCTACACAAAACACAACTCACGTGGACAGAAGAGCGCACGGCCGAGCGAACTCGACCGCACGCTCACACAACCAGACAGAACATGGAGCGCGAGTGTCCGGACCCCGACACGAAACCGAAACGCAACAAGACATGAGTGCCGGGATCTGAACACCACGCTCCAACATGACCGAAGTGACAGAACCCTGACATGGCATGCAATTAATGAATTGAAGGGACAGTGAATACAGCTGTCTGTAGATGAATTGTCTGTTATTATCATCAAGCCTAAATTACAAATTTAAGATGTAAAAGCAGACCCCTCCTACACTCACTACCACTGCCCGGGACTTCAGTAACACCAACAGCGAGATTTCTACAGCATTACAGAGAAACTGGCCCAAAAATGTTTTCTTCTGATATGGGCGAAGGGAAGAAATACAAATACAAATAATAAAATCCATCTAGCAAAATAAATAGGCCTTTAAAATGCTTCCCATATCTTTTGATGTCAACATCAAAGGCCATGTGTCCAATCAAAAGTTTTTTTTTATGTAAATGTATCTGTCATTTGGTACACACCAGCCAAATTAGGCAGAGATGCCAACATGGACAGGTTGCATGACATATCTTCATCTTTAAATACAGTTTCTACCCACAGAATGAACTGAGCATTATGGGGTGGTGTGGCTTGGTAGTTAAAGACCTGAGCCGGTTACCCACGTTTGACCGCACAAAGGGTAAAGATTATACCTTAACTTAACACTGGCGACTTCATGTGAAGTCATGAAAATAAATGTAATTAAAGGGTTACTCCACCCCAAAATTAAAATTTTGTCATTAAAGGGGTCATATGATGCGATTTCAATTTTTCCTTTCTCTTTGGAGTGTTACAAGCTCTTGGGGCATAAAGAAGATCTGTAAAGTTACAAAGACTAAAGTCTCAAATCCAAAGAGATATTCTTTATAAAAGTTTAGAGTCAACCACGCCTACCTAAAACGGCTCGTTCTAACACGCCCCCACATGTCTACGTCACGATGTGGGAAGATTTGCATAACGCCGCCCAAATGTTCACGCAAAGAAAGTAGGCGTAACTTTTATTCTCGCTGTAGTATTGTTGTTGCCGCCGCTGCCATATCATGAAGGTGCTGTGTGTTTCATTGTGAAAGCAAAACTACTTTGTTTGGTCTTCCAAAAGAGGACGATATCCGCTTCGTCATGCCTGGAGCTGATCCGTGCTGGTCACTGAGGAAATACATCAACTTCGCGCTTTCACCGTGGACGAGTTCAGCCCGGAGTCGTCACATGTGGCTGCCGCAAGCAAAAATACTCTTTGTACAAGAAGAAAACAAAAATAACGACTTTATTCGTTCCTTGTGTCGTGGCTGACACAGAAGAGCATACGCAGTTTGCGTTCAGCGCATATTCTCCAAAATGACGCTATGGTGATGCGGAGAGACACAGAGGAGACGAATTGTTGAATAAAGTCGTTATTTTTGTTTTCTTCGCGTACAAAAAGTATTCCCGCCGCTTCATAACGTTACAGTTGAACCACTGATAGCAGATGGACTATTCTGACGATGTCTTTCATACTTTTCTGGACCTTGACTGTTCCGAAGACGAACGAAGCTTTTACGGGTTTGGAACGACATGGGGGTAAGTGATTAATGACAAAATTTTCATTTTGGAGTGGAGTATCCCTTTAAAGGAGGAACCAGAGCCAACCAAGGAGACTCTTTTGACTTGCCAGTAAGCAACCATAAAAAAACACAGCATAGCAACAGCCTGACAACCCCAACAACATCATGTCATCATGGCAGCGACTTCTGGATGGGCAAGCACCACACATACATATTTTTTGGATAAAATGTAAAAACCTAGTTCATCTGTTCTTTAGTTCTTCTGGTGTACTCTTTAGCAAGCTGCATATCTGTGCACAACCACAAGGGGAAGCTCTATAGTGTTATTTGATTATTCTGAAATACAGTTGAGATTATAGTGTCCACTATCCATTATTTATAAACTTTAAATTTGTGAGTATATTTCAACATCTGTTTCATGTAATTTCAGGCAGACTGCTGTGGCTGCATTGTCAGCCAGAGGAAAGATAATTTGCTGGTCGAAACACTGCTGAGTAAAAAAGATTTGCGTCTCCACAGCACAAATGCACTGATCTCTCTCTCTCATCTCTGCTAATAGAAGACAGGTTATGGCTTTCTCACCGTTATGGCCCTATCAGGAAACCTTCATGCTAACAGTACACAGGCCAGCAAACACAGAACAGCGAAGCTGTTCAGGGACAACACTAAAGCCACTGTCCTCTCTGTCTTTGTGCAAATAGTACAATCTGTTTTCCCCCTTGCCAGGTTATGTTTTCTGATATTTTTACATTTGAGGGAAAATTTACAGCCAGACAGTCAATTAATATGTTATCATGTGAAATGCTACCGCAAGAAGTAGCTATTTGTGAAGCCTGAGCAAAATGAAACAAAAATTTTTTTTCCCCAAAATAATTCTTGTTAGCCTTTTTGCTAAATTGCACACTGTATGACAGGTTAATAGGATAACCTGTTGGAATTATGCCAAGTTATCAGGCTAATTAATAACCTTAAATTTATAGCTTTGATTATATAACAATATATAGATTAACGTTTCATGCTTTTGAAAAAAATCCTTTAGGCTCACTTAGGCAGCATTTTTATGATTAAAAAGAGAAAAAATAATATGGTGAAAATATTATTACATTTAAAATAACTGTTTTCTATTTTAATATATAAAATGTACTTTATTTCTGTGATGGCAATCCTGAAAATTTGGTGCTCAAGTAACATTTTTTTTATTGTCATCATGTTGAAAACAGTTGTGCTGCTTAATATTTTTTGGAAACCATGATACATTTTTTTTTTCAGGACGTCTTAATAAATATAAAGCTCAAAGGAACACTATCTGAAATTGAAATGTTGGTAACACTTTGCAATAAGGTTCATTAGTTAACATTATTTAACTACTTTAGTTAACATGAACTAAGAATGAACAATACTTCTATAGCATTTATTAATCTTAGTTCATGTTAATTTTTCAACATTTACTAATGCACTATTAAATTCAAAAGTTGTGCTTGTTATCATTAGTTAATGCTCTATGAATTAACATGAACTAACAATGAACAACTGTATTTTTATTAACTAACATTAACAAAGATGAATAAATACTGTAATAAATGTATTGTTCATTGTTTGTTCATATTATTTAATACATTAACTAACATTAACTAATGGAAGCTTATTGTAAAGTGTCACTGAAATGTTTTATAACATTATAAATGTCTTTACTGTTACTTTTGATCAATTTAATGTATCCTTTCTGAATAAAAGTATTAATTTATTTTTAAAAATTACCCCACATTTGAACAGAACAGTAAAATTTCAAAGACAATTGACATATTTTGATGGCTAAGATCATTTGCCATTTATCCACTTTGCAATGTACAACCTAAAATACATTTGTTGCTTTAATAAGCCCTAACAGGATGATGTATGTTTACATTTATATATAAATGAATTTGCAAGACAAGTTACATTTACTATGAGCTAGTTTGCTTACAGATTTACATACTAAGAAATACTTTAAGTTATCTCTCATCCAGCTCTTTATGTCTAGCCATCAGTCAAAGTCTTTATTCTCACCATATATATTCAAATTAATACTAACGCCATCCAATGTCATTTTTACTTCAGTTGGTAGAATGGTACAATTTTCAGCCACAAGTTGGCATCACTGAGCTGTTCTAAATTTCATTAGCTTGAATTAGTGTTACAGTGGTATGTTGCCACAGTATCCTGTTTAGCACAGTTGTGCAACTGACCAATCAGAATTAAGTATTCTGTGTATAATTAAAGTGTTTCCTTAATAAAATCACATCTTTAATAATTGAGTTATATTAAGTTAACTAATTAAGTGATGCTATAAAAATGAAAACAGTAGTCCTACAGGCATGGTTCAGCATATCAGAGTTGACCCTTCTGGAACTCATTTTCCAAGAAGCATCTTCAATAAATACACTTATTGGAGGTCATGCCACATTAATTTGAATTTTTTATTTCAGAAGAGACATCAGAGTACAGA